GCCGGATTCCTACCTGTCAATTTTACTTCGCACTTCCTCTCCTTCGTGTACAACAGGTGCAAGAGCACAGTACTGCTGCCCTCCTTTGACACACCATGGTTGATCGCTGTCGCCAAAAGAGTAGAAATGTTGTTCGCAAATTTACACAACTGTTTATGCGCCATTTTGCCGACAAGCCACTCATCTCCTGCCCAGCAAATTCGAACGTCACACCCCGCTCCGCGCCTGCCAATGCCCCATGAAAGGCTGCGTTCACGCAGAGGTACTCGTCCCTCCGCTCGGTACCGGTTACGTTACAAAACAGCCAACAAGCCCTTTGGTGGGAGCAGGACCATTAAGCACACCCTTTGTACGCAGATCAACCTTGCCATTGGAATTGCGCTTCCGTGGGGCGGTGTTCACTTCCTTCCAGCTCCTCACCATATCAATTATCCAATTCCTCTGCTCACTCAGGCGCACAGAGGCAAGAATGTATGACACTCCATCAGACCTCTTTTCGAACAATGAAATAAATTCGTTGCCAACGCCATAAAGCCTGGCACTGGAAATAACGCCACCACCCGCAATAAATTTTGGAAGCAATTTTTTTTTTTTTTTTTTTTCTGCTCTTACCAGTCGTAGTAACTACACCTCCAATGTGCAGCTCTGGTAAGCGCCGATGGAATTCAGCAGCGGATAGAAATACCGCTCCGCGGGCAGCCATGTAAATGGCTGCATCATGTGCCCTTCCGACCCATTTGTGCGGCGTCTGCCACCTCTCCGCGCGCTGCGGATGAGCAGCAGCCACTTGGCTTCCTCCCTGGCAAAGAGTGCTAGACCCTGGCGCCACGTCGAGGTGGCCGGCTGCGCCAGGGTGGGACCAAAATCCTAAAGTCGTTGCACGTCGGTTGACAAAGTTGCATACAAACTTTTGCTTCGCCTTTTTTGTCCGAATACGCTGACGTGGTGAGAAGTATACCCCGCCTTTCCACAAATTCTGCACTAATGAAGCCTCTCTGACAACAGTATTCTCCTCCACCAGTATACTTACCAAAGAAAAAAAAAATGAAACATCTCACCAACCCACAACAAAACAAAACTGAGAAGAATTCTCTCATGCCCCAAAGAAACAGTGCGCGAGATGTCTTGTTTTTCCAGCCATTTAGCAGATAAATTCTATGGACCGCACTTGGCACGGCAACGCGTGCCCCCGGACACCATGGGGCTGTAATTTGACCAGGCAACACGCGGCTGGCTTGGGCGCTGGTGGATGCCGCCGGCCCTGTGCCAAAAACAGCGCCATGAGGGAAACATTGTTGGCTCTTTGCTTCCCCGAGAATACTGGGTCCAATTGGCCGTGGTGGCACGCTGGGGCGGCCGGCATTGCCAGGAGAAGGGTCTCCAGTTGGGCTCTTCGCTTTGTCCTGGAGGACCTGGATCGTGTGTCTCCCGGTCCGCCCAAACGACCGGGGTGTGGAGGTGACTGGCTGTGGTTCCCCTCTCCGTCAGGCCTGGCAATTGACCGTGATACGCGCGGTGCCGCCTTCCGCAGGTATTTCCCACCACGGCCCCTTCGTCAGACACTTTACCCCCACAAGAATGCCGCTAGCATTTGCGGGATTTACGCCTATGCATTGGCAGCGTGGCAGCGACCAAATCCCGGCGCGGCAGCGACGGAGGTCCGGAGCGCTGCGCTGCGGAATGGTTGGCTTTCGGCCTCCCGAAAAGTCGCGCCCGCGTCCCTCGGTGGCGGGCCCCTGGCGCCACGATGGGGTATTCAAACGCGGAACGATCAGGGACCGAGCGTCGCGGAAAACGGCCGACGCCAACATTGCGATGGGAAAACTCTGCGTATACTCCGCTCTCCGGATCCGCTGGCTCCAAAAAAAAAAAAAAAAAAAAAAAAAAGCATGGGGCGGGAACCGGGGAAGTGAAGAGGATTTACTTCACAAAGATGCTGGCGCAGTTTCTTTTCAAGGTGGAACCGCTCTGCGCCCAACATTGCCTCCGCGCGGCGAGAAAACGCAAAGCCCTTCGCAAATGCGACGGAGCTTAGATGCTCCTGGTATGTGTCTTCTCACTCCCATGTCCTCATTCATTGGTTTTTTCTTTTAGTTATTCTCGGCGACAACAGATTGACGTGCCACCGCGCTTTCCCGGTGCGGCTGTGTGGCGTGGTTGTGTTTTGCGTCCTTCGCTGCGGCTCCCTCTCCGGGGGCCGGGGCTCCCTTTCATATCTCCACTTGGTGTGAGGCGGAAGTGCACTACGATGGTGGCCGGCGCGCGGGCCATTAAATTTACTTGGGAATATACAAAGGAAAAAAGTTGTTTGTTATTATTATGATTAATACTGTTTTTACTATTATTGTTAATATTGCTATCACCATTATTATTATTATTAATTATTAATTATTATGGATCCATTTCAGAACACACTAACTGTTGCTGGTTAATGGTTGTATTTGGATGGGAGAGTATGCCTCCACTCCCGAATATGGAGAAACAGCTTAACGCGTATTTGGAAAATGATTTACTTCATGGTGATAGTCCTATTGTGTAACGTGTTTTCTTACTCTTTTTGATTTTATTTTCTGATTTTTTATTTTATGTTATCTATGCATTTAAATATGGGGAAGGGAGAAAAGAATAAAAATTTATGGACTTTTAGTTTTTTTATTATAATTTTTTGTGTATTATTTCAATTTAACACAAATAATTATTTTCTTTTTTGAATATTGGCTCTAGTGTGTACCATATGAGCTTGATATAATCTTGGAGATTCCTAAAGGGTTTCTTTGAGTCTAATGGTAAAAAAGCTTGATGGGGAAAGGAAACAAAAATTCCTGCCTTATTTATTTATTTATTTTATTAGGAGCTTCTGAAGAGAATGCTCGCGGGAGAGCTGGCTAACTTAATTGATGTATGTACATCCTGGTAAATGAAGGCATTATTTATGATACTTTCTGCCGTATGAATCTTTTGGGAAGAACGCGACTTTGTAGGGGCAGGGAGCCGATAGGGGCCAGATAATATTTGTTTTTATTTTGCCATCCCACCCATCCCCTTGATTCCCACCACGCGGCGGGGTCTTGTGGTTGGAGGACCCCAAAGTCTGCCACTTAGTAAGTAATTATGTTCTGAGGACAAAAGACCATACGAATGGTCAATAGAATTTATATATCGAATGAAAGGAAAACATGGAGGCAATGGACTAACTCTGCGAAAATCCTTTCTTCTTGACTTGTTTGGTTTCTTTGGGTTATTTCAGGATCCAGTCAGCGGCGCAGAAGTTTATTTTTTATTTATATTTTATTATTATTATTGTTGAGCTGTTATGATTTATTTTGTTTTATTGTATTGTTGATAGAATTATTTTGATTTATTTATTACGTTTACGATTATTTATTTATTTATTCTTATCTATTTATTATTATTATTATTATTATTATTATTATTATTATTATTTACTACTAGCAGTATTAGTAATAGCAGTAGAATTTGTAAAGCCATCACCGTTAATATTGCTAAGATATTGATGCCTGAAGAACGGTCGGTTTTTTGCTAAGGATTTTTCACTCTGTTCTATTTAGAAAATAAATATTTTATTGGAGGTAAAGATAATTTTGTGTTCTTTTTTTTTTTTTTTTTTTTTTTTTTACCGAGGACTTTTTGTGTGTGTGCTTTTTGCTTCAATTCCCTTTGGATGTTTAATTAAGGCTTTAAAAATTGTAGGCATAAATTGTGTTT